GGAAAAGTCAGAACGTGCGGCTGAACCTGAACAGCAGCAGGAGCTGCCCCTGGGTAGGTGGCTCAGACAGGACAGTGGGTGACCAGTGTGGCAGGGGAGAGCTGGGAAGGAGCTCAAGAACTGGAAGCCTGAGTGTGATGTAATAGAGAAAAAAGGTCCAAAAAGGCAAGATTTCATGAGGCTCTGCAAAACTGAGGTCTCCAGAAGGTGACCACAGCATCCAGGCTGGAGCTGCTGCACCTTCCCAGATCCCTTGCAGCCTTTGACATCCACCTCCCCTTCTCACCACTTCTTCCTCATTTTGAGGAGGAAGACAGGGAAAGCTGGAGTCAGACAAGACAGGGGGAGCTGGCAGGAGCACTGGAAGGCCAGGAGAGAAGTTTGCCAGCTGCCACGTGAGTGAGGGGACTGCAGCTCTTCAGGCAACAACAGCTCCAATTTCAGCCTTGCCGTCATGCTCGGTGCGTGCTGAGCTGTGCAGAAACCAACCCAGATTTAGGAACTGAGGTTCTTAGAGCTAATTCAGAACAAAACTAAGAGAAAGCAGTTTTCCTGAACTCTATTTTACTGTCAGTTTAAGACACAAACTCATTCTCCATCCAGGGTGCTTGATTTCTGATGGGATGTGCTGTGCACAACACAACTGAGTCCTGTCTTAACAGTCCCCTGCAAGTGCTACAGTGAAGGATTAGGTGTAGCTAATCCTGGAATGAAGCTGGGTTAAGGTCAGCTATACCCAAATAGTGCCTTCCTAATATTCTCCCTCATTATTACTCACTTTCAGGAGTGTGTTTCCAGCCACTAAGCTTAGCACTGCAGTAGGGGAAATTCAAAGCAGTGCTGGTATTAATATTAATCCATGGGTTTGAGTGATGATTTGCAGATGCTCAGGAAGACCTGGAAGAACTGGAGCTAAGACTGTGGAGAAAGCAAAACTCAGAAGCAGGGGGATGACAAGAAGGCAGAGGGGATGGGGCAATCAGTGGTGAATAGAAGCAAACACAGAGAATTTGAAGGACATTCCAAAGGAGAAAAACAGCTGAGGTTCTGCTGCTGCTTTCATCCAAAATAGTCAGGCACAGCATGGAAAGCATGCACTGAGTAAGACATGCTGCAGACTGGCTGTTATCATCAAATACATCTTAGGATCCTTGAAGCATACTGTGCCCAAGTCTCCTCTGATAAAGGTCGCTATTTCCCTAAGGAACATTTCCAAAAGCTTTAGGAAAAGATAATATAAGGTAAATCAGGAAAAACAACTGTTTTTACAACACAAATCAGCAAGAAGTCAGGTATTTTACCTGAGCTGTAAACATGTTTATTGATCTGAAATAGTTTCCATTACTTCAGAGCTATCAGATCCTGCCTGTTTCTGTGCTCTTTAATCAAGCAAGCTGTTCCCAATGACATAATTGTTCCTTAAAGCACGTGTTTCATAGGTCATGAGGAGGGGAACCAACACATCATGTATTCTGGGAGTAGTAAACAGACAGGCCAACTGCTGCAGCACCCATCACAGAGCTGGGGCTGGAAATGAAGAGCACGAGGACCTCAAAACAACTGAGTAACAACCCCCTTGCTTTAAGTAAGTGTTGATGCATGTAAAACCAACTACAGAACAGGAAAAGCAACCAACAGCTTCCCTGTATGAGGAACAATCACTCCAAGTATTCTACTGTTCCCTCTGTTGAAGAAATGTTACTTGATGCCCCTCAAGGAGAGGCTCTTGCCACAAACTCCCTCGTTTCATCCTGAACTAAAAGATACAACTTAGAGTTGTAATGACAAGTTACAGATTGTGTCCTTGAAATCATAGAATCCCAGAGTGGTTTGGGTTAGAGGAGCTTAAAGCTCCCCCAGTTCCAGCTGGAAATGATTCTCACAGACAGAAGAGGTATCAGAAAGATTCTCCTTGGCATGATTTGGAAGCCATCACCTCTACCCTGAGTGCTGACACGTACTTTTGTTCCTGCTTTAATGAATGGACTCTGCTGAACTAGCACAAGAAAGGAAAGGATGTTCCATACTTACTTCTGGAGCTATGGAAGGATGAGAAGAAATGCTGAGCAGTCTCATGGTGGCTTCCATCTGCTGGGGTGGAAGGAAGAAATTGGGAACAACAACAGGATCAGATCTGAGCAGAACAGTTAAGGAACAACCTCTGTCAGCATGTAGTTAGTTGCACAGAGCCCCACTGGAGCTGCAGATGTGGAATAAGCCCCACTGTAACAGCTGTTAATGCCCCCCAGATGTTGAGTCTTATTCATTTCAATCCATCTTCTATCATGCTGAACATGTGGTTCTCCCACCTGGCCTCGCAGAGCATGGGGCACCAACTTGCCTCACACAAGTGTAAAGTGCTTCATCCTGCAAAAATTCCAACACAACTTAGTGAAACTGAATGTGAGATTTGGGATCTGTGCAAGAAATGTGGGAAAGAGCAAAATAAACTACATTAATATAGAAGAAACACAAGAGCTGTAAGCCATGGAGAAAAACAACATGGGGAAGAAAAGCAAGAAGACAGGGTGAAACTACCCAAAATGAAATAACTCTCATGGATATTGGTGACAAATTGCAAGGAAGTCATAGAACCATGGAATGGTTTGGGTTGGAAAGGACCTTAACATCATCCAGCTCCACCCCCTGCCCCGGGCAGGGACACCTTCCTCTAAAGCAGGTTGCTCCAAGCCCCTGTGTCCAACCTGGCCTTGAACACTGTCATAACTACATGTTTTGAAACACGACATAACAGGGCCTTCTGACACCTTCCCAGGTCACCACATCTCATTCCCCAGGGAAGAGCTCCCCATACTGTATTTTTCCTTGGATGCAATGTGTGTGTGTAAGAAAAGAAGGATACAAAACAAGCTTGGGTTTGACAGTCTTTTCTGACTCTTCCAGTGGGTCTTCACTACTGGCATCAGAAAAGCTTTCACCGTTTCCTTCCGAGCCTGCTTGGGCTGATACACTCTTAATACAGATCTCATCAGAACCACTTTCTTCCTTGTCTTGATGATCTTCATTTACAACCTCACCCTCTTCCTCCTTTTTCTCTCTTTCTGTGGTTTTTGGGTTGGTGAACCCAACATCTGGAAATGCAAGTTGTTCCTTGGAGGCTGCTTGAAACTCTACATTTTGCTCTAAAGATTTAGCATTAATTGCTCTATCCCTATGAGAGTTTCCACCTTCTTCAGGGCCATTGGCTGGCTGATGCACCTCTGGTAACTGAGCAGGCTGAAACAGCTCCTTCTTGCTTGCTTCCGTGCCTCTATTCAAGCTTTGAAAGCCTTCTGCTAGTGCCCAAGGACTGCTCCCATCTGCGTGGAGGCTAATGCACGAGCTAAAGGTGGTGAGCATGCTTTGGTTGTCACCTTGGAGTATGCTGGAGAAGGTGCTGCTCCGTCTGCTGCTTCCTCTTCGGAAACAATCGGTATCCACCGAGTGCTGATCTTCAGGCCTCAAGTCTGTGGGCTGCTGGTCAGCCCCCTGCTCCCCATCAGACAGCACACTGGACCAGGGACTAGTTTTGTCTGTCATGGTTGTTATTTCATTAAGAGTTCGTGGTTCTATAACATCTTCTTCATATTCTTCTTCACTGTGTGGCTGGACAGCAAAAGCACCTTCATCTTCTTGGATACAGCCCCTTGGCAAAGGATGCTCCCCCTCAGGGACAGCTTGGTCTAGAAGCTCATGCAACATGTGTCTATCAAACACAGGTCTCCCAAAAGAGCATGGCTGTTGTGTATCACTGCAAATGCTGGAGGAGTCCAACTCAAGTTGGCCTTGACACACTTCAGGTCCAGCTTCATCATCCCTCTGGCTCGGTACATGTGTAGCATCCAGCTTTCTGCTGCTGTCTTGATGCACATGAGAAGATTCTTTACTGGTTTTAGTGATAGTCTGTAAGTCTGATAAACAGAAAACAGCATCAGTAAATGCACAGAACAACAGTTCACTTTTAGTCTGATTTATTTGGGCTTTCTGCAGAAAATCATGTATGACAGAATGGTTTTGAATTAAACCTGCACAGCTTTGTCAGACACTCTGCTAAGGGATCACGTTCTGCTCCCTATATCACTGACAAGGCCCAGAGAAGGACAGAAACCTAAAGAAAAAAGGCAATGTTCAGGATTAAATTACTGGGAAATAACTAGAAATACCTACAACCATGTACAGGAAAAAAGTGGACAGTGAAAATACTCTGATATACAGAGTACACCTAAACCAGTGGAAAAAATACCTGTTGCTCGGAGTGGCTGACACCAGTTTGGACAGTTCAGACCACACAGAAAGGAGAGAGGAATTACCACCTTGTCCTCTCACAGCTTCCCTAGTTTTATGCCCAGAAGACACAGCTCCTACTGATATTCTCCAGCTTTCAGCTCAATTTACCAAATCAAAATACAGACAAATGTTAATTCAGTATTTGAAGAACAGAAATTCACTCATTCCAGCCCAAACCATTCTATCATTCTGTGATTCTATGACTGATGCTCAGATGTAGTGGTAAAACTGTAAAAACCTGAGAAGAAAGAGCTGTCTGTGCTCCTAACACAGCTTCTGGGAAAATGTGATTGGAGCAGTAGCCTCAACATTAATAACATCTATGGAATCCTGGAAATCTCTGGGGATTTGACATTCTTTAAAAAGCCACAATCACCTATTTTTGGTTCCTCGTTAGCAGATCTTAGTAATTTCTTAGATAACACAGACTGGATTGGGTTGAAGGGAGCTTAAAGCTCCTCCAGCTCCAACCCCTGCCCCGGGCAGGGACACCTTCCACTAGAGCAGGTTGCTCCAAGCCCCTGTGTCCAACCTGCCCTTGAACACTGCCAGGGATGGGGCAGCCACAGCTTCTCTGGGTACCCTGTGCCAGCGCCTCAGCACCCTCCCAGGGAAGAGCTTCTGCCTCAGAGCTCATCTCAATCTCCCCTCTGGCAGGTTCAAGCCATTCCCCTTGGCCTGTCCCTACATCCCTTGTCCAAAGCCCCTCTCCAGGTTTCCTGGAGCCCCTTTAGGCCCTGGAGCTGCTCTAAGGTGTCCCCTTCAGGAGCCTTCTCTTCTCCAGCTGCCCCAGCCCAGCTCTCTCAGCCTGGCTCCAGAGCAGAGCTGCTCCAGCCCTTGCTGTGATGATCATTTTTCCACAAGACCTCCCCTTTCCTACTGAACAGACATTGAAATTCAAGCAGAGTCCAGGCCATGTGGAGAGGGCCTTAACTCCCACCGAATCGTCTTTCTCAATGTTTCAGTTGAACATTGTCATTTCTGAGAGGGGTTTGGAAGTCTCTCCAAAGCCTTCTCCCACTGGACCAACACACACTGATCACCAACACCAGGAACTGGTCCTGAATACATAGAATATTTGAAGATCCTTTAAGGCAGCCCCTGACAACAAACTCTAAACCAAGTGACAACTTACCACTGATGAGGCTGCTGACCTGAGACACCAACTGACTAGATCTTTCCAAAAGATGGCATCCACTGGGATCCACTTCTCTGCTCACTGAACCCTGATGATCACTCTCCTGCTTTTCATGACTTGGTTTGGATGTGTTCCCATAACTGAAGTCAGGAAAAGACCTGCTCAGCTTCTGATTGAAGTATCTTTGCACTTCATCCAGCTCACTCAAGTTTTTCCTGTAATTAGAGGGAACGAATTTGGTAAAAGGCAAAAAAAAAAGGCTGTGGCAGAGTGGTTCTATTTGTATCATTCCAGTCAACAGCATGTAAATATGCAAATGGAAGTTTAATGGTTATTACTGAAAAGGAGATCAGTAGGTAAATGCTGAGGTTGACAGGATAAACTCAAGAACAAATGCCCAAATAGCATGAAACTTAGGCTGGAAGATACAAAAAAGATCTTGTTCTAAACTTACTTAATCAAAGGAGTTAGATTTGAGATGATCTTTCAACTGAAGTCACAAAGACAAGAATACTAATTGAGAGAGGATTTCTACTTGATTAAGATCTAAGGACATTACTGATTTTATGATATATTTGGCATATATTTAATGATATTTGGGCTGGTTCAGCTTGGGGAAGAGAAGGCTCCTGAAGGGGACACCTTAGAGCAGCTCCAGTGCCTAAAGGGGCTCCAGGAGACCTGGAGAGGGGCTTTGCAAACCTAATGCTTTGATCACCCTGTAGCTGTAGCTGTGCTTTACCTGAGAGCAGTGAGAAGAGCAGCACGTGATGACAGTGACAATGAGTCCATCTTCGCCGCCCGATGCGCGTTCCCCTCCGCTTGCTGCAGGGATTCGTGGAACCTGCGCACGTTCTGCATGTGCTCCTCGTGCCGGGCTCTGTGTGTCCCAGGGGCAGTAGTTCTGTGGGGACCAGGCCTGTGTGTAACAACAGAAACCAGCCTGAAATCTCTCATGGTGAAAAATCTGCCAGTGGTGAATATCCAGCGTCAGTGAAATGCACCCCCAGAGCGTGAGCAGCAGCTCAGGGAGGGGATCCTGCCCCTCTGCTGTGCTCTGGGGAGACCCCCCCTGCAGCCCTGATCCAGCTCTGGGGAACAGCACAAGAGGGACGTGGAGCTGCTGGAGCGAGGCCAGAGGAGGCCCCGGAGCTGCTGCGAGGGCTGGAGCAGCTCTGCTCTGGAGCCAGGCTGAGAGAGCTGGGCTGGGGCAGCTGGAGAAGAGAAGGCTCCTCAAGGGGACACCTTAGAGCAGCTCCAGGGCCTAAAGGGGCTCCAGGAAACCTGGAGAGGGGCTTTGGACAAGGGCCTGTAGGCTTCTGAAAGAAGCACCTGCCAGTTTTAGCAATGGAATAGTTTATATCCTTTTGTACAAGGGTGAAAGTGAAACAAATGGGGAAATATCAATTAAAAGCAAAAGCACATCTGGGTTTGTAGTAAGGAACCTCTCCCAGGACTGCAATCCCCTGGGCCACCCTCACACTGGTAAAGGGAATTTGGTATAATCTTTAAGCCTAAACACAGGGAAAGACCTTTGTCAGGGTTTGGTGCTTTTTCAGGAGAGCCAACAGGGTTCAGAGAGGTTGATTTTAGAGCTCTTACAGTAATCAAATTCTTGGATAGCCAATGGACTTACCGCTCTTGAGTCGGAGCACTGGCTTCCTTTGACAAGGTATTGATCTGCTTGGAAAAGCTTGCAGCATTACTGGGAAACGTTGGAATGCTGGCCTTCACCTAGAATAAAGAGGAACATTGTGCATGAGCCTTCCACGACAAGAAAATAGAGAAAATAAAGTAGTATCTTCCTGAGGTAACAAAGAAAACCTGAAGGCTTCTTAATAGCTTTAAATTTCCACAGGATTTTCCAGCACTGAGCCAAAGCACCATTTCACAACACTCTCATTTCAGAAACATTGTCAATTCCATCCACACTAGTGAGGAGTAAACCGATAGTAAATAGGGTGTAGAGGCTCCCTTACACGTGTATTATCACCCCCCAGTGCAACTAGAGAATAAAAAACCCACAAGAAATGGCAAATCTTCCAGAAAACCAAGATTTTTGCCAAATTAGACATTTCCTAACCAAAGAAAGGCTGAATTTATAGTGTTTTGGGCATTAGTTGCAACCCAAAGCAGCAAACAGAACAACACCAGGCTCTCAGACATCCAAACCCACAGAATATTCTCCTAACAATAAAAAGAACACCACAAACACCTATGAAATGACAACAGAATGAAGCCTTTGGAGTTGTTCATGACTTAGGGTTGAATGAGTGCTGCAAGGAGTGTTGGCCTGCAGCTACCATGGCAACATACAGCAGGAGCCTTAAGGAATTAAGTGTTTCTGGTAGGTTTACAGGGACTGATCCATGACAGGGCTGTGGATTTGCTGTTTGCTCATCAGCACAGTGAGTGCTGCTGCTGAGGAATCTGATCAGAGATGCACAGGGAGGAAACTGAAGCACATACTGCAGAACTCGGTGGCTGGCTCCAGATCCTTGCCTGCCTCTCCTCTTTGAGATGAGCTAGGTTTTGAAGAGGGGAAACTGCTACTTTGATCTGCCCTCGGCACTGTCCACTGAAGTCTGTGATATTGTACCACCCGCACACGAGCTGGAAGCCAGAAAGGAGAGGAGACAGGTCCACTGATGCAAACCCTATCACTCGTTCAGTCTCTGGAGAAGAACAACATAAGCCACGTATGAATTTGACATGCATGTAAACAAAACATCTTCAGGAATGCTCAGCATCAGTTATACAGCCCCTGAAACATGCCTGGACTTAGCAGGGAAAGACACGTCACGGAAGTTGACACGCTGGAGGGAAGGGATGGGATCCAAAGGGACAACCAGGCTGGAGAGGTGGGACCATGTGGACCTCATGGAGTTCAACAAGGCGAAGGGCAAGGTTCTGCCCCTGGGTTGGGGCAATCCCAGCACAGACACAGGCTGGGGGAGACTGGATGGAGCAGCCTGAGAAGGACTTGGGGTGTTGGGTGAGGAGAAGCTCCCCATGACCCGGCTTCAGTGTGTGCTTGAGCCCAGAACCCCCCCGTGTGCTGGGTGCACCCCCAGAACATGAGCAGCAGCTCAGGGAGGGGAAACCATTCTATGATTCTATGAATACAAGTCTGGGATGCAGAAAGGACACTCCTCTCAATACTGCCCTACAAACTGTACCTGCTTTATGCCACACTTTGAAGACCAAGGTTTGCTGTGGATCCAGCAGAAGCTCTTTGGATAACCTGTTAAGCACAAAACTCATTTTATACAAAGAAGGAAAAAGAACAAATACAGTAAAATGCCTCTGAAGGTTCAATGCCATTGTATCTACCCAGACAAATCAGACTGTTTCTGGGCTGATGGTGGGGAAGGACCACAACAGACCCCCAAGCTATTGAGCCCTCAAAAACATAACTATCTTCACATGGTTTGGGCTTTTGCTTATTCAAGGAGTACTTCCCTTTCTTTACTCTTGTAAATTTATAAGATAGGACAATAAACCCACGAAGAAATGGAAACACAGTTTATCTCCTGAGTGAATCACACAGTGACAGCAAAGCTGCAACATTTGAAGTTGATCTGTGGAAAAGAAACAACTGAAAATGAAGTGTCAAACATACAACAGCTTTTAAGTTGCCTGAAGCAACAGAGGATTGACTCTGAGCATAAGCAAACTCTGAAACTAAACACTTGAACTTCAGCTCTCAGTGTCTTTCAATGGCTTAATCTTCATAGCACAAATTCCCTAAAGCCAAAACCCAGCTGAGGAGTCAGGCAGAAACCCCTGCTCCTGTGCAGGCACTGCTATGTATCTGTGACTGTCAAAATGAATTCACTTTGCTTCTTGCTGCCTGTAACAGACTTGTTCCACCTTGTTCAGAAAATGCCTTTGGCTGCTGCTTTGGATGAGTTTAAAATCTGGTGTAGGAACACAGGAGAAGGCACAGGGTCACAAACATGGGGTCAGGAGTGAGCATTACCATGTATAACTGGATCTGATGAGGTTCCATGGAAAGGTCAATTCATCTGCTCTAATTTAGGCTCAGATTTTAATTTTTTTGCACTATTTTGGCAGACACTGGAAAGAAACAGGCATCCTTGGGGAATTTTGTCCAGAGCTGGGTCTCTAACACAGGTCAAGTGACTCACAATGTGGAGGTGCCTGCAGAGGAAGCCATGGCTGAAAGGGACACCTAACTTCCCAATATACAAAGTTTCATCAGTGAATCCAAACTTAAAAGCTCTGGTCCCAAACCAAGGCATAATTTCTAAGCACAAAACAGAGTAAAATATACAGAAAAAGCCAATAAATTGGATCAGGTCTTACTTAACCTTCCCAGGAGTCCTTCAGCAATTAGCAGCTCCTTACACCAGACAAGGAAACTACTGATGGGTGGAAACAGACTGACCTGCCCAAGGTCTTAAGGCAAAATACAACACAGCCATTGGCACCAGCACTGTTCAACATCTTTGTTGGTGACATGGGCAGTGGGATCAAGCACCCTTAGAACATTTGCTGATGACACTGAGCTGGAGGGAAGGGATGGGATCCAGAGGGACCTGGACAGGCTGCAGAGGTGGGACCATGTGAACCTCATGGAGTTCAACAAGGCCAAGGGCAAGGTCCTGCCCGTGGGTTGGGGCAATCCCAGCACAAACACAGGCTGGGGGAGACTGGATGGAGCAGCCTGAGGAGAAGGACTTGGGGTGTTGGGTGAGGAGCTGCTGCGAGGGCTGGAGCAGCTCTGCTCTGGAGCCAGGCTGAGAGAGCTGGGCTGGGGCAGCTGGAGAAGAGAAGGCTCCTGAAGGGGACACCTTAGAGCAGCTCCAGGGCCTAAAGGGGCTCCAGGAGACCTGGAGAGGGGCTTTGGACAAGGGATGGAGGGACAGGCCAAGGGGAATGGCTTGAACCTGCCAGAGGGGAGATTGAGGTGAGCTCTGAGGCAGAAGCTCTTCCCTGTGAGGGTGCTGAGGCGCTGGCACAGGGTGCCCAGAGAAGCTGTGGCTGCCCCATCCCTGGCAGAGTTCAAGGCCAGGTTGGACACAGGGGCTTGGAGCAACCTGCTCTAGTGGAAGGTGTCCCTGCCCGGGGCAGGGGTGGGAGCTGGAGGAGCTTTAAGGTCCCTTCAACCCAAACCATTCTATCATTCTATGATCAAACTGTCCTTCCTCACACCAGCTGTAAGACTAAGCCTCCTCAAACAACTTTTTGCCCAATACGAATATATGGTGATTGTAAAACATGGGAACAAGCATTTTTAGCTGAGAGTACAGGCCAGTACTAATGGCTATGTCCTAATGGCTATGTCCTTTTCACACCTAACCTGGCTGTCACATCCAAAATGTGTCTGTGTGAGCCCACAGCACTTACCTTGCTTCTTGCTGAAAGTCCCACACTGGTGAGTCTGTATTTTCTATTACTGACGTGGTTACTGGAGCATCTGCACCAGCAACAGCAAATGACACACAGCTACTGGGGGCTGTTACTTCACGTTCTGTCAAAGGACTCCCTAAAATTACACAGAATTAAATACAGCTTTGTTATTAATAATAAATACCTAAAGGCAGTTCAGCAATTAAAAGCACAGTATTAACAAAGAAATCCACCATCTAGGAATTACTGCTTTTCATTGATGGAGCTGAAAATACTTTGCATTTATGATAGGAATAAATATTACATGAACCGTTTATACAGCAGAAACTGGAATATTCAAGGAAGAAAGAGGAAAACCATTTGATCATCTGAGGACTAAGAAGCAAAGCTTGGAATAAAACCCCACTCCACAAGACCCTGTTCCAGTGCTTGATCTATCCTTCATGCTGGGCCATAGAATTCGGCAATCCTAGCTGCAAAAATAGAAAACACTCAGTGTTACAAAAGGCATTTTGACTTAACAGTTGACTTAATCCCAACATAAGAAGGCTGTGGAGCTGTTGGAGCAAAGCTCCAACAGAGGAGGCCCCGGAGCTGCTGCGAGGGCTGGAGCAGCTCTGCTCTGGAGCCAGGCTGAGAGAGCTGGGCTGGGGCAGCTGGAGAAGAGAAGGCTCCTGAAGGAGACACCTTAGAGCAGCTCCAGGGCCTAAAGGGGCTCCAGGAACCCAAACCATTCCACGATTGTATGATTCTCTCACACCATAAACGCTGAGTGTTCCTTTCCTGTGTATCACCCAGACTGTGAAACAGTTAATCTTAAGAGACATTTCCAGTAAACTCACCTCAGGTCAGTTCCTTATTCCTATTTGTATTTAGGTAGTGTGCAATGGCCCAAACAAGATCAGCTCACTCCAAGTGCTGAGCAAACACGAAGTGATTGAGTCCTGCAGTGCTGGAGGTGCCCAAGGTGAGGGGAGAGCACACGATGTATTTAAAAGGGTTTAACTCATCTTAAACAAAGAGATTCATCTCTAGACTGTAAATTGAGGGGAAAACCAAAAGCCTCCAAACCCCAAATTCACCAAGTGTGTTACATCAGTGCACATCTTGAACCAAACATCCTCCTAGGATGGAATATTTTAATACACTTTGCATGAATTTAAAAGCAAAGAGCAATTCTTTGGTGCCCCTCAGCACAGTGATGAGGCACCCAACTGTAATTCCCACTCTGCAGAGCAGGAAGCAGTGTGTCAAGGCTGGCTGAGCTCAGGCTGCTCTGCCCTTCGTTGCCATTCCTCACTGCTGTGCCTGGCAGTCTCCAGACACCACGAGCAGTGCAGCTTTACACACTGATTATACGCTAGGAATGCAAATTTGGAAGAGCCTTGGAGATAGGAGTGTCTTGGGGTGAAGTTACTAACACAAAGCTTCACTTCAGAATTCAGCTGTTATCTGCAACAATGAGCATTGTATTATTTATAACTTGGATTTACATAGGAACATAGACTAGTTTGGGTTGAAGGGATCTTAAAGCTCCTCCAGCTCCAACCCCTGCCCCGGGCAGGGACACCTTCCACTAGAGCAGGTTGCTCCAAGCCCCTGTGTCCAACCTGGCCTTGAACACTGCCAGGGATGGGGCAGCCACAGCTTCTCTGGGCACCCTGTGCCAGCGCCTCAGCACCCTCCCAGGGAAGAGCTTCTGCCTCAGAGCTCATCTCAATCTCCCCTCTGGCAGGTTCAAGCCATTCCCCTTGGCCTGTCCCTCCATCCCTTGTCCAAAGCCCCTCTCCAGGTTTCCTGGAGCCCCTTTAGGCCCTGGAGCTGCTCTAAGGTGTCCCCTTCAGGAGCCTTCTCTTCCCCAGCTGCCCCAGCCCAGCTCTCTCAGCCTGGCTCCAGAGCAGAGCTGCTCCAGCCCTTGAAGCATCATTTTACTGATAGAGATAGGCTGAAGAGTTTAACCTGCTTCCCCTGTACTTTACACCAAGAGCATGCCATCAATGCTCCTGGGGTTGCAGCACTATGTAGCCAAGTTCAAAACACATCTCATCCCTTCACTGTGCTGGAGTAGGTACCGGTTCTGAACAGATCCCCGGAAGAATAAAAGAGAAATACACCTTTGGAGGTGGTGATGTTACCTTTTAAACTCAGATGCATTGCTCTTTCCACAAGGATGTTGACAGCAACTGTATTTTCCATCAGCCCCACGCTGTCTTCTTGTGGTTTGTCATCAGTGGTTTCTGAACTTACAACATCCAGTTTCTGACTGTGATTTTCAGAGACCTGTTGGCTCAGAGCAGGGGCTTTCTCTGTGCCTTCATCTTCACTGCTGCTGTATTCCTCAGCACAGTGAAGTCTGCTGGGCAGAGCAGAAGTGGTAGAAAGGACGATGTGAACACGAAGAGCAGCTCCTGCTAGGTTTGCAGCGTTGCACCTGAACAGTGGATAAACCCCTGCAAGGGAATCCACAAACAACCAGGTAAGCAAGGCAAAGGACAAAGAGGATCCTGGAAAACTTGTGAGAGTTCACCACAGGAGAGACCCCATCCCTGGCAGTGTTCAAGGCCAGGTTGGACACAGGGGCTTGGAGCAACCTGGTCTAGAGGAAGGTGTCCCTGCCCGGGGCAGGGGTTGGAGCTGGACGAGCTTTAAGGGCCCTTCAACCCAAACCACTCTGGGATTCTGTGGTGTATACAGGACAGAACTGAACATGTTTTTCTTAAAGTGCCAGAGAAGTAACTGAACTAAAACATCAGCAGAGGGATGAAACACAACAGTGTTCTTCAGGAACTTACCACTGACACTTATTGTTTTCCTTGACCTCTCTGCTAATGCTGCAAGGTCAACATAGGCAGATCCAATGAGACGATCTGTATCAAGTGGTCTTTCCACATCATTTTCTTTCCCATAGGCCCACCACACCTGGATTTCTAATTTCTCCTCTCTGAAGAACCAAAGCAGCCCATGGCTCCTCCTGAGCATCACCTTGTTTGGTTTCCTGAAGTTTATTGTAACATTCTTGGTGTCATCACTCAAGTTTGGCCTCTTAAGCACAGTCCAAGTGGCTTCCTGGTTATATAGTTTATACCTGAGGTAGCAATAAGTGCTTTTGTTTAGGTGTGTCTGGCCTGCAATGGAGGGCCAGCCATACTCTTGGGGTTGAGATGGTCACAGTCACTGGCTGGGCACTCTGCTGCCACTCATCACTGTCATCCATGCTCTCCTCATGGATCTCTTCACTGTTCCACCCCAAGAGCTTAGCAGCTTCCAAAACACGCTCCCTGTCATCCTGATGAGCAAAGGTGACAGAGAGTTCCAGTCCTCCCACGATGGCCTGCATGATGTTTGTGCAGTGAGGAGGCATGACATCTTCAGACAGGGTAACTGGGTACCAGCCTGAAATACCTTCAGGAAAAAGAGATCAAAATTAGACTTATCCAACCTCCTGGAAAATATCAGTGAAGAATTTTCCACTCTCTGGTCGTTAGTCAAGGACCAGTCCTTGAACTGTTTGTTCTTGTGAAACATGGCATTTGGCAAGTCATTTCTCACCTGAAACAGCAGCAAATTGTGAGACCTCAGAAGCAGTTGTGATCCCAAAGGTATTTTCCTCTCTATTTCATTAATGATACTCATTTTACAATGAAACTATATCCCACAAATCTCCAGTTATAAAATTAGGCATCCTCATTGCTTTCCTCCTCTCTTCCCATGAAAAATAACCCCCAAATTTCATGTTGGAGATAATGAGTACTATACTGAAACTAAGTAGAAATAACCAAGTCAATAATGAAACCACCATTATTACAAGACATACTCATCACAAACTAACACTCCATAGGGAAGGTATTTTAAATCAGTTTAAAAACATTAATCCTCCTGCTTCCTAACTGATCTAATCCTCTGTTTCCAGCTTTGACATCTGAAAAGCAATCATTGGTCATCCACTGAATACTACAACTCTTGGACTTTTCATCTTAAGGTAGAAAATATAACCAGCACTGAGTAAGATCCTAATGAGGTGTGCCAGGTTTAGCTGGGATGGGGTGAAATTTCTTAATGATAGCTTCAGAATACTCATTCTCCTATGGAGCCAGGCTGGGAGAGCTGGGCTGGGGCAGCTGGAGAAGAGAAGGCTCCTCAAGGGGACACCTTAGAGCAGCTCCAGGGCCTAAAGGGGCTCCAGGAAACCTGGAGAGGGGCTTTGGACAAGGGATGGAGGGACAGGCCAAGGGGAATGGCTTGAACCTGCCAGAGGGGACATTGAGATGAGCTCTGAGGCAGAAGCTCTTCCCTGGGAGGGTGCTGAGGCGCTGGCACAGGGTGCCCAGAGAAGCTGTGGCTGCCCCATCCCTGGCAGTGTTCAAGGCCAGGTTGGACACAGGGGCTTGGAGCAACCTGCTGTAGTGGAAGGTGTCCCTGCCCGGGGCAGGGGTTGGAGCTGGAGGAGCTTTAAGGACCCTTCCAACACAACCCAGTCTGGGATTCTATGATTAAGCTACTATACATCCTTCATCCTAAAACCAGATCTTCAAACAACAACTTTCATGTAAGTCCTCTAACACAGGATTTTTGAAGACAACATGTGCAATGTCTGAAAGAACTCTGACCTTAAAAAAAAACCCAAAACCCAACAAAAACCCCAAATCAGAATGAAAATTGTTTTAAGAAATCACAAGAGCATTTACGCAGGCTGTCAGCAGCATGACACTGTTGTATTACCTGATCTTCTTCTCAGCAGGTCTCTGGTTGGAATTGTGACTGTCCCAAGAAGACAATCTCTTGATGTCCGTGGTGCCAATCTGTCAGTGCCTGGAAAAGAAATAATTGTGTAAATACATCAAACTGGATAACAAGATTTGAAGTGATTGAGCCAGTATCTCCTTTGCAAGCGAGCTGGATCACCTCAACAGCAAGATGTCAGCTGAAAAGGAACAAAAGTCAAAGCAAATTACTCAGGACTTACCAGGCCATAATCAGTGAGAAACAATGCTATGACCAAAACCTGTCCTTTGGCATTGCCAGTGCACATTCAGGAGGAAATACATGTTCCATGAGCACTGAATATGGAGAAACTTTTAGGGAATATTTCCATCACAGATACACAAAAAGGTTTGTGTTGAAGGGACCTTAAAGCTCCTCCAGCTCCAACCCCTGCCCCGGGCAGGGACACCTTCCACTAGAGCAGGTTGCTCCAAGCCCCTGTGTCCAACCTGCCCTTGAACACTGCCAGGGATGGGGCAGCCACAGCTTCTCTGGGCACCCTGTGCCAGCACCTCAGCACCCTCACAGGGAAGAGCTTCTGCCTCAGAGCTCATCTCAGTCTCCCCTCTGGCAGGTTCAAGCCATTCCCCTTGGCCTGTCCCTACAGGCTCTTGCAAAAATTTCTTATAAGACCCCTTTAGGTACTGGAAGGTGTGATCCAGTCCCCTTCATTTTAGTTTAGAAGAGAGACTATTTATAGAATCATAGAATGGTTTGTGTTGGAAGGACCTTAAAGATCCTGGCAGGGTGTTGGAACTGGATGAGCTTTAAGCCCTTCCAACCCAAACCATTCTGTGATTCTATGACTCTCCAACAGAATTCAGTCCTTGTGATGAAGGTAAGTTCCCTCTTACCTGACTTGGTGCTCTGATGGTAGATAGAGAAGATGACATCAGCAGACTGCAAGAGTTCCCCCAGAGAAGAGGCTTCTCCACTGCTCTTCTGAATGATGAGGTTACAGGGAAACTCCAAGTGATGCTCAAACTCAGGGCAGAAGGTACAAGCCACAGCTCGTGTGTGGCGTCTCTCTGCCTCAGGGAGGAAGGAGAGGTGCACAGAGACATAAGCATTGACTCCCACACCTGCGTAGTACTGGAAGGAAGGGTTCTTTTGTGCCACAGCTCTTCATTTAGGATGGAAAGAGAAAAGAAGAAAGGGAATTAATATAATGTACAAGGAATCTGGGAACTAATGCAATTAAAGCAAAGGTTTCAGGTCTTCATGGAACAAAACAGTGGATATTTTAAGTCAACACCGATGTGGGATCTCACTGTGATTTATCTCTCACTGTTTTTCTGTCATCTGAACATACAAGAAACAGATATGAAATGGTGAAAGTAACTATCACAAGATCCATCACTGGTGTCTGTGTTCTTATCATTGTCAAGATTTGAGACCAAAGTGGTTAAGAAAGGACTCAGCACCTTAAAAATATCCCCTACTGCCGATAAAGCTGTGGGTAACTGTACAAGCACCTGTCCTAGAAGGAAGCAAAAGGCCAAGCCAAATTATTTTTACAGTCTAGTACTGACAAGCAAAAGGAAGTGAAACCAGCAGAGGGAATTATTTACTAGTAAAACAGAGTTGGGTATTACTTAGGTCACAGAATCCCAGAGTGGTTTCGGTTGAAGAGACCTTAAAGCTCCTCCAGTTCCAACCTCTGCCCCGGGCAGGGACACCTTCCACTAGAGCAGGTTGCTCCAAGCCCCTGTGTCCAACCTGCCCTTGAACACTGCCAGGGATGGGGCAGCCACAGCTTCTCTGGGCACCCTGTGCCAGCGCCTCAGCACCCTCACAGGGAAGAGCTTCTGCCTCAGAGCTCCTCTCAATCTCCCCTCTGGCAGGTTCAAGCCATTCCCCTTGGCCTGTCCCTACATCCCTTGTCCAAAGCCCCTCTCCAGGTTTCCTGGAGCCCCTTTAGGCACTGGAGTTGCTCTAAGGTGTCCCCTTCAGGAGCCTTCTCTTCTCCAGCTGCCCCAGCCCAGCTCTCTCAGCCTGGCTCCAGAGCAGAGCTGCTCCAGCCCTCGCAGCAGCTCCGCTTTCTTTACTGCTTCAAGCACCATATGGCAGTGAGCCTCAACCAGCCTACGGGAATTAAGATGGATCAGGAGCTCAGCAACATGGAGAAAGGGTCAGTGAGCACTGCTCTAGAATGACAGGAGCCACCCATCCCTTATGGAATTTACTCCTCTTTTAGCCCTTTCTTAATTCTTGAAAATCACGTATTGGAACTCAGTTCAGGTCATACCACGCACTTTGAGCAGCAGCCTTCTGGTGAAATGGAACATGTTTCACTTACTAAATAATTTATTGATGTTTTCACAGAAACCAATCTCCATCAGCTCTTAAATCAGTAACACCCAGATCCAGTGCCCAAATAGGTATCATTTTGTATCAGTCAATTTTTATATCAGCCTTTGGTTTAGAAAAAGGTGGAAATGTAGAAAAATGTGCCCTTCCAATCTCCATCCTTCTGCAGAACGAGTGCTATCACACTGTACTGCAGCTCAGGGACAAAAATAACCACTGATGTTCTTTATAAAGTTATTTTCACTTCTGATGAGAACCCAGTTTGAATCTCAGGCTCTGCAGAGGGGAAGTTGGCCAATTCCAATTTGTTCTTATCTAATGTCTCAGCCTGCTGCCTCCTGATAAAGCTATTTTAAGAGAAAAAAACCCTTTCCTTTTTGACTCAGGCTTTACCTCGCTGCTGCTTGCAAACCAGCTGCTCTGTGTATCTGTACAGCAAGAGAAACAGCTCGAGCAGCTCCTCCTGCTGCTGTCCTCATGGATCGTTGGTATCGCACACTCACATCCAGCAAGCCTGGATGAAATGAAAGAAAGGAAGGAAATGGTCAGCTTTTGATAGAGTTACATCCAATATAATCGAGACTTAGTTGTATCTCTTCATACAGAACTTACTTTATTACTGCAAAAAAAGAAAGCCAATTGTATCCTGGGCTGCATCAACAGGAGTGTGAGCAGCAGGTCAGGGAGGGGATCCTGCCCCTCTGCTCTGCTCTGCTGAGACCCCACTTGCAGCACTGGTGCAGTTCTGGTGTCCTCAGCATCAGAAGGACATGGAGCTGTTGGAGCAAGCCCAGAGAAGGCCACGCACCTCCCGTGTGGAGCCAGGCTGAGAACATTGGGGCTGTTCAGTCTGGAGAAGAGAAGCTGCTGGAGACCTCAGAGCAGCTTCAGTGTCTGAAGGGGGCTACAAGGATGCTGGGGAGGGACCTTCATCAGGGACTGGAGTGACAGGACAAGGGGTGATGGGTTCAAACTGAAACAGGGGAGATTCAGGTTGGATATACGAAAAAGGTCTTTACTGTGGGAGTAGTGAGACCCTGGCACAGGTTTTTTGGGGATGTGCTTTAAACCAGAAGAGGGAAGATTTAGATGCTTTTGTAGTTTCTAATCAACAACCTTTGTGTCTTTGCTGCTGAGTGGATCACCATCCTTTACCTGCACCCAGAGAGCAGACTGAAGGACTTCCTTAGCACACTGTGCCTCAAACACTGGGGTGCCAATCCCAGGCTTAGCTCTAGTGAGCGTCGTTTTATCATATAGACTGAAACCCCACAAGTCTTCCTTACCTGAAGACCTCAGATGAAATTCCTCTGAGGAATCAGTCCGAGGGACCAATGGAAGATTAAAAGTCTGTATCCCTATTTCTTCACGGTGCTGCATAGTGACCATGGCACAGAGCCGTGACAAAGGCAAGGTCCCTTTGGCAACCACCTGGTCTCTGACATTTGGGTAATAATACCTGGTAAGACACAAAGAAGCAGCACGAGTCATGGTGTTTTGATGATGACAAAATGATCATCATTTCTGTCACAACTGCATGTAAGTGAATTTTAACTTGAGTGTCTTCAAACACTAGTTGGGCTCCTGATAGTTAAGGAGTAGCTCAAGTAAATGAATTTACACAAAATGAAACAATAAATGAGGGGGAATGGCTTGAACCTGACAGAGGGGAGATTGAGATGGTCTCTTGTGCAGAAGCTCTTCCCTGGGAGGGTGCTGAGGCGCTGGCACAGGGTGCCCAGAGAAGCTGTGGCTGCCCCATCCCTGGCAGTGTTCAAGGCCAGGTCGGACACAGGGGCTTGGAGCAACCTGCTCTAGTGGAAGGTGTCCCTGCCCCGGGCAGGTGGTTGGAACTGGAGGAGCTTTAAGGTCCCTTCCAACACAAACCACTCTGGGATTCTATTTTATTTGATTCTATTCTATGATTCCAATTTTATAGTATTTCTTTGTAATTAGTAACTTGTATTAGGGAATAAAAAACAAACTGAAACCAATGAAATTATACTGCTAGAGTGCTACAAATTAAAATTCAGATGTGCCAAGCATTTAAACATGACTTTTACATCTCTGTGCTGATAACAAAGTGGAAGAAAGCAAACTACGAGCACACACTCTAAAGAAATGTTAAGAAGAGAATAGTAATTAGCACTCTTGGGGGAAAAAATAGAGGCTCACATGTCTTAAATGCAATCTTAAATGCAGATATCCATCACCAAGTGTTGATGAGCTCACCATTCTTTCACTTGTTATTGCATATCCATCCCAAAGCTAGAGATTTTTCAGTACCAGATATGTCTCTATTTGTACTGCTGTGACATCTACAAAGAATAGGATGTTATTCTGTACCTGCACCAGACTTCAAACTGGATTCCTCCTCCAGCCACTCCTGGTGCCGTAAATGCACTGACCAGGAGCCTCTGGACTGGGATATCAGCCGGAACCAACAAAGAATGATGATGCTCATCATTAAAGACAGGATCAGGGACACACAGAGTGGTCGCTGTGCGGAATGGCTTCAGTTTGATGCCTACAAGTCAAGCAGAGGTGGTTAAAAATGGGCTTGTATTTGGGCTTTCAACCTTTTTCTGTTTGTAATCCTTGCTCTTCTGAGTTTCACTTCACAAATCTGTTACAAGCAATCCCATGAACCTGCAAGGCACAGGTGGAAAACTACAGTTAAATGTGACTGGAAGCTCACATAGTCCATAGGAGTTGCTATGGAACCATGTTATAGTGAGTGTATTTTCCAGAGGAAATACATGTTAGTGGTTCAAAGCCCTCAAGATCAACACTAAATCCTTTTCTCCAACTGCAATTATTTAAATACTCCTTTATAATCATAGCCATCTAAACCAGGCAAGTCTTCTCTTGGTGTATCCATGAAACTGAGCATCTTGAGAGGCTTTGTATGTAAAGCCTTCATTGAAGTTATCTGTATATAGTGTCAGTACTCCCTGTGAATCTGTCCTCTGCAGGATGAGTTGGGGAAGCCCTCTGGGATCTTTAACAAAAAGATACCATGTGAAGAGACTCAAAACCAGGAATCCTTTTATGTTGGGAACTCTGTCACCTGCCTCAATCAAAGCTGGCTTTTCATTTACTGATGGACCCAAGAACAGTTGGGTGTAGATCTTCTGGGGACAGCAAGCTCTGGCTGCATGAAAGCTCTGAAATCACACACCCGTTTAAGTGGAAATATCATTACTAAACAAGATTTAACTGAAGCAATGCTCTAAATTAGGATGAATTATAAGAGAAACTTACCATCCTCAAGCAATTCAGCTATTTGCAAACCAGCCTCTTGAACTGGGAAGTAGTACTGTACGTAGCAGTCAGCCTCACCCCAGACAGTGGACTGTAATGGTGTGAGTCCTTTCACACTCTCCACATGGATCTCAAACACATGCTCCAGCAGATCTTCCCCTTCTTGGCCTAAGTGCTAATAAAACAAAAGGAATCCACATGGAAAGGATGACTCTTTAGGAATCAGCATTCAAGAGGACATTAGGGGGCCTACAGGAAAGCTGGAGAGGGGCTTTGGACAAGGGATGTAGGGACAGGCCAAGGGGAATGGCTTGAACCTGCCAGAGGGGAGGCTGAAATGAGCTCTGAGGCAGAAGCTCTTCCCTGGGAGGGTGCTGAGGCGCTGGCACAGGGTGCCCAGAGAAGCTGTGGCTGCCCCATCCCTGGCAGTGTTCAAGGCCAGGCTGGACACAGGGGCTTGGAGCAACCTGCTCTAGTGGAAGGTGTCCCTGCCCATGGCAGGGGTTGGGACTGGAGGAGCTTTAAGGTCTCTTCAACACAACCCAGTCTGGGATTCTATGATACAGAACAAAATTGGCATCAAATGAGAGTGGGGATCACTGCTCCATTAAGGAACCCACTGGTAAAATCCTTTTCATATGTCCGTAACAGCAAGAATGGGAATTTACTGAATTTACCATTACAGGCCTTGTAGGAGGAGGATCCAGAGAGTGGGAAGGTCTCTGTGTGATGGGAGGTACCATCCCTTCTTCAGTTTTTAACCTTTGCAGGGCCACTATTTGATCAGCTGATCCCATTGCCAGAATGACCCTCAGGCTTCCACTTCTGCTGCCAGTAAAAACATCCACCACTGGCATGTAGCTGTCCACAGCCACCACGGGATACTGAGCTTGAAGGAGTAGGTGGGAAATCTTTGGATCTCTAGAATAGATTAAAACAAGAAATACACATCAAACAAGTAAGTTTTGTTTGTTCTCCCAGTGTGAGAATGAGCCATTGGAATATGAACATGATCACACAAAGCTATTTTGAGATGGGACTTTCAATGCAGTTAGAAATCAATCTATCTCCATTCCTCCAGAACTTGGCTCAAGTACACGAAGTCTTCACACAGCCCAGATCCAGGAGCTGCCAAATGGAAAAGGCTATTTTCAGCAATGACAAAATACAGCTTTCCAAAAGCTAACATAGGTATAAGTCAGCCTAGAGATCTGTGAGCAAGGGGATGAACTGGAACAAGACTCCTATTAATATACTGTAGCCATACTATTACCCTTGTGAGGCTGTTAGACACCTTTGGGGATGGATTTGGGCAGGAAGAAAAGGAACAGGGACAGTCTCCCAGAGAAATGTGAAAACTTCTAGTAACTGAAGATAACCACAAGTAAACTACAGTGGATTCCTGAAAAAATGATACAAATTATAACTGATTAAATACCAAAGTAGTGGCCAGTGAGTTCCAGAACCATCTGATTTTCACTTACCACTAGTCTGACCAAAATATGCTCCATCCCTGGCAGTGTTCAAGGCCAGGTTGGACACAGGGGCTTGGAGCAACCTGCTCTAGTGGAAGGTGTCCCTGCCCATGGCAGGGGGTTGGAACTGGATGAGCTTTAAGGTCCCTTCAGCCCAAACCATTCCATGATTCTATGATACTATGAATTAATCTTCTCCATTAGAAAGAATCTCTCCTGTCCAGTAGTTCCTTTAATTCACAAGTTTTAAGCAGGTAATTTAGAGACCTTTTTGATACCACAGTCATTATCCTGTGCTGTGCACACTGACAGCATCCCTAGCAATGGGATCCATGCCAAGCATAATCAGGAAAAGAATCATTGTGTCAGTCACAAGCTTGGAAAATCACCAGTGGAATGTCATGCCTCATTTTCCTGTGCAGTCACTTTTATCTCTTACAGTCTCAATGCTTCATAGGGCCACAAGTCAAACTGACACCAAACCTGGTGCAGCAGTGTCTTTATTTCTCACAGTTTACTTGTATTTCTGTATGAGGGCAGTGTGATTCACACCCACAGTGGGAGAGGAGAGGAGAGGAGAGGAGAGGAGAGGAGAGGAGATAAGGGAGAAGAAGGGAGAAGAAGAAAGAAGAGCTTCTTTCCCTGAACATCACTTAGGATATTTCCCAACCCACTAAACTACAGAACAAGGCTATTTACTTGAAAGAGATGTAGAACTGATGCAGAGGCAGCTTCACTAATCCCAGCAGTCTGTCACAGCCAGGGCTTCCCATCTTATTCCATGCTTCAATAATCATGACGTTGTTCTTCAACCGCTCCAAGTGTTTGGAAGTCAAGGAAAAAGGCATCACCTGAAAGAGTTTAGTGCACAGTTAGCACACAGAGAACACTGGCAGCTATTTGCTAAGTAGAGAACAGTCTGGTAACTCTTCATTATTCCAGTCTACAGAATTGTGCTCCACAGAAATGGAAATTAAGAATTAAATGTACGGTTGCCAAACAAGTTTCAGAAAACTGGTAGGCCTGGGCAAGAGCTAGCCAGGAAAATCCATGTGATCTGGATAAATTTCACATAACATCATATGCTATCTGTAAAACATTGCTTTGTCTGTAAGGGCCTGTTTACTGAACAGCAGATAAATCATTTCACACAGCTGACTCAGATGTCTTCTGTTGTGTTTTTCACTTCACCCCTTCAGCTCAAGACTAAGAAGTCTCACGAATCACTAAGTATTGTTAAAACAAATGTAATATGGGCCTGTGTGGACCTCATGGAGTCCAACAAGGCCAAGGGCAAGGTCCCGCCCCTGGGTCAGCAATCCCAGCACAAACACAGGCTGGGGGAGACTGGATGGAGCAGCCTGAGGAGAAGGACTTGGGGTGTTGGGGGAGGAGAAGCTCTCCATGACCTGGCTTCAGTGTGTGCTTGAGCCCAGAACCCCCCCCGTGTGCTGGGTGCACCCCCAGAGTGTGAGCAGCAGCTCAGGGAGGGGATCCTGCCCCTCTGCTGTGCTCTGGGGAGACC